CCCTGGACCGCCTGCCTCTCATCCTTGTAGTACCAGAGCACTCGGCCGGCGGCGGCGGCGACTGCCGCGGCTGCTTCGGAGAGGGCGGCGCTGGAGGCGGCGCCGGAGTTCTTGAGGGCGGTGCCAGAGGTGGCGGCGCTGGAGGTAGCGGGGAGGGCGGCGCTGGAGGTGGCGGGCTGGGGCTCAAGAGTGGCGTGCGCCGCGGCGACGACCGCCTCAATCTCCGCCGCGGCCGTGGCTGTGTCGGGCGGTGGAGGCGAGAGCTCGGCCGCGGCGGCGCTGGCGGAGGCGGTGCCAAGCGCCAAGCCGCAGCGAACCACGACTTCCGGGCCGCCAGCCTCGAGGGGCAGCTCGACCGTCGCAATCTCGTGCATCACGACCGAGGCGCCTCCGGGAAGCTTGAGCACACCGACACGCCCGCGCTCAGCCATGAAGGCGCCGAGCCGCACCAGCCGTCGCAAGTCGGCCTCTCGGGCTTTGGCTGTGCGCACACTGAGCTCGAACGAGTGCCATCCGTTCGAGGAAAGCAGGCGCTCCCTCTCGTGGGGAACCGGCTCCCCCAACGCGCTCAGGTACCGACGCTCTCTCTCCTCGACCGCAGAGCGCTTGAAGAGGACCATTCGTATCTCCTCGGGAAGGATGGCAGCCGATGTGGCGGAGGAGGAGAGCTTGCACACGCGCTTCCATCCGTCGTCGCTTGCACTCGAATGTGTGTAGAGCCAACCCCGCCATTTGTCCGTCATTGCGGATGGGTCTCGCGCGAGCAAAGAAGAGAGAAACACTCGCAGTTCCGCCCCCGCCGCTGGAACGGCTGCAGGGTCGTGGGGCCGCCCCAGCGGCTCCACACCAGGCGTTTTGGCCGCGAGGGCCGCCACCGTGCCCGCCACCCCTGCCTCCGCCTCCACCCCCGCCGCCGGCGGAGCCGCCACCGTATGGTCCCACTCGGAATAACCTGAGCGGCTCAGCCTGAGGGATCCGGGGCCGCCCCGCCGGAGGCTGGGGTACCCGGGAGGAGGAGCTGGGGGAGGGGAGTTGCCGCAATACGATAACGGGCCCGCCGGCGAGCCGGAAGGCCGAGGCCGGAGGGCCCCAGGGGGGGCTTGGGGTCAGCTGTCGGAGGAGGCGAGGGATGAGCTGACGCGGCCTCTGCGAGTGGAGTCGGGACGTACGAGCTCACAGGGGGAAGGCCCGTCGCAGTGGCAGCCGGATCACCGCGACCTTCGACAAGGAGGGCCACGCCTCCCCGAGCCTGAAGAGGAGCCGGTGGAGGGGGGGAGCGAACCAAGGACGTAGAGAGGCCGCGGGTGCGGGCACGACTCGTCGACCAGGGAGAGCGGACCCGACCTCCCGGGGATGGAAGTGGGTGGGACCCAATGCCACCGTCCTTGCCCGGGGTGACCCCGGCCGGGCCGTCGACGCTCTCGGAGGCGGCAGTACCAGTCGGAGGAGAAGCGGAGGCGAGACCTCGGCCAAAGAAAAGACATCAGCTAACGTGTGGACACGGCCCTATGAAAGTCTCTCTCTCTCCCCTATGGCCAAGCCTATACAACAGGTAGGTATGTCCGGTTTTGACCGCCACGGAGGGCCCTGCAACAGGTAGGTACCCCTATTTTCGTCTATTTTCGCTTCGCTGCGCGGCCTGGGGATAGGTAGGTAGGGCGTTTCGGCGCTCGATGTTCACAGCCTTGTTATGAGAAGAAAATACGTCCTATGGCGCTATGCGCTGGTCTGTGAGAGGTTGAGGTGCGAGCCCTGGAGGCCCTGGGGATGGGGGGAGACTACCCGCGGGCCTAGAAGGCCCGCGCGTTCACACCACCCACTACCGGGTATCTCCGACTATCTGCCGAGACCCCTGTCGGCAAATGCTAACGACACGCCGTGCCTTCGCAGCGCTCCTCGCCCTGATCGCTGGACTCGCCTGGAAGCAGCCCGGTGTTACGCGAGCAGCGAGCGACTCAGACCATGCGGCGGCGGATCGCACCACACTGACGAGGACGCTCTCCCGACGAGATCGTGAGCTGGAAGAGCTCGAGGCGCGGATCGCTATGCTGAAGGCGCGGTACGCTGATAGATTGGCCTCGCTCAAGGCAGCCAAAACGACACCTGGAAACCGAAACACAAGCTTTCCGGGGGACTCCGGT